CAGCCCAATTTGAACGAAATCAACTTCCTCGATGGAATTGAAACTACTCATTAAGTGCATCAGATCTCTGTGCTACCTCCGTTTTACCAATCCTCGGTGTTGTTGTTTGTTTTCATCTATTTTAACTAAAACTAGAAAATCGAATAATCCCAATTTGCCAAAAACTGGGCTCTTTCAGATCTTTTCGTCGATAATTGAGATCATTCAGTATCTTCTAGGAACAATGAGCTCATTCAACTTTTTTCTGAGAAATTGGAGAAAATAAATTAGATCAGGAACAGCAATTTGGCAAAATTTAATTAATTTTGCTAAAAATTGGGCTTTTTCGTCACCCTTCATGTCAAAAAAAAATATCGAATTGGGGACCAGTTTTGACCCGGGATGGTAAAATCAACTGACGGAAAACAAAAATAAAGCTTGCTGAGGAACCTAAATCATCGATAGTTCTTTTGATACTTTCATCTTCAAAAAGCTGAACCAACAGACAAAAATGGAGAAAACGTCCGACAGATACAATCTCTCGATTGTTCAGGCTGCAAAAACTTTGTGAAGTGATTGTCTCTAGATAAGAAAACCGCTTACTCTTTAAAACAGCTCGATCAATTGACTACACCCAGATCAAAAGTTATCGAAAAATTCATAGGTTAAAAAAAATCCGATGTACACCCAAAGTATTGTAGCATCTAGCGCACAAAATCATGGATTTCTTTTAAAAAAATAGCCACGTTAAAAGAATTTGAACCTGCGATTTCCGAACTACTTCAATTGCACAAAAACTGATATTAATTAAATCATGATGGTTTCTTTTTATTACGAAGATTTTATTTATTATTCGGAAGATTTTTACTCCATTGTGGCAGTTAAAGGGAAGAGCTGTTCATATATGAATTTTCCATTACAGTCATGTAAATAGCTGGCTAAGGTTGTCAATGACTCCAATTATTTTTGAATGTCAAGTCCCTTACTTTTTTTGATTGTATGCTGATTATGTGGAAACTGCTTAAGGCCTCACGTGATTATATGTTATTGAAGGTCGCTTAGTATTTCCAATAAATAGGAGCAAACTTTTCTCAATCTTATTACTCCATTATCTTAGTACTCAATTCCATGCGGTGATGAAACTTTTTTCTACTTTTTTCAAGTTTTTTGACACCCTGCAGAAAAAAAAGACTGATAAAAGCAAAAATGTTTTTTTTCTGGCGTAATCAGGTTGGAAAACTCCAAAAAAAAACAATCTGAAAAAAAAACATTTTGTGAAATACTTTTTCAATGCAATCTCATTTCTTTCAAAAAATTTCAAATCTGATCAAAACATTTTTGTTTTGACATGCAGAAAAAAAGCAAATTCATGCTCAAATGCATGCTTACAGAACGTATAAAAACTAACGAAATTTTTGATTGCGTTTTCATTTCCAGGTATTTCAAAATTAGCTGGATCTTTTTTTCTATAATCATCTTGGTGCTGCTGTTAATAATTTGTAAAACTTTGGTTTAACTCTGTGTTTTTGAAATTTTGCTACCTACATCAATACGATCAATGCTCCCCCTCCTTTCATTCCAGGGATAGAGCAGTGCAAGCACGTAATGCTACTGCAGTTTAAAAATAATGAAAATGCAGTCGACTTTGAAGTAAAAACAAACTGGACTGCTGGAATACTCTGCACAATTTTTAGTACAGAAAAGAAATGACATCAAAAGAAAACCACATGCCGTTTAACTGTTTATGCTATGCAGCAAAGTGTAATCACAATAAACATATTTAGTTCCAAGTTCGTAATACAGCACAATGTTCTTAAGCTTTTTTTGTACAAAAAAAATTATGATGTACGAAAAAATCCGATGAATAACCTATTGGTTCGTTTCGAGATACATTTTTATTTCTGAAATAACTCTTCATTTATTAACGTATGTGCTGAGTATAATAATTCTACGATCCAGTACAAAATTGATTGAACCTTCATGATAATTATGTTTATTAGAACACTAGTGAGAACACGACACAAAGCAGCTCTATTAAGTCCAAAAAAATTGAAATAAGCCTCGAATAGGTAAAAAATCTGCTACGTCTTAGATTCGAACCTGCGCCCTAGAGATTAAGAGTCTCATACACTAACTACTCAGCCACGAACACTTAATAAACGCCAAACATAAGCCACAAGTAAAGCAGAGAATAGATACTCTGCAATTTTCGATGCAACAGTGATATTTCCAATAAGTGAACACTTTTAATGAACACTTTTTTGCAAGTTAGGTTAGAAAAAAAAGATCCGTAATAATACACTAAGCTGATCGCTAGTGTAAATATGAATATTCAACCAAACGGTTTAATTTTATTCACATGTGTTTGAAGTAAAAAAACTACGAGTTAAACTATAAACACAGACAAAACGAATCGTAACCTTTGCGTTACAATTTCAAATCTCGCATTACAAGGTGTTGAATAGAAAAGAAGCAATACAGTTTTTGAAAAATCAAGCGGAGAAAAGTACTCGGAAAAACTTAATTTGGAAAAACATTATAGCTTTGTCCTGGATGATTTTCATAAACAGCCTTAACAAACCTTGAGAAACAATGACCGAGAAGCCGCAAGGCAGGAAACCTTACGTCGACCGAAAAATTTTCGAAATGCCAAAAATTTCCAAAAGAAAGATCAAAACTTCAAAAATTGTATACATTTCTACTCCTTTTATCTATGAAACATAAAATATCGCATTCGGCAGTTAATTTTTGAGAAAAGGAAAACACTTAAGAAAGGGTCAAAATCTCAAGATTTGGAGTTTTTCTAAGGCCGAAACACTTTTTTCACCAAAATTAGGGCGCAGCAGCTTATGCAGGGGAGATCCATAGAACACGCTTTTTTGGTTCTTTATCTCAGATTTGTAATGGAATTTTCCTAGAAAATGAAAATCTTCCAAAAATCCGGTCGAACACTTCCTACAACTGAAACTTTCGAAGTTGTAGAACGCCCGATGAAGTATAAACAAACTATGAAATAAATCTCGAGAATAATCAATATTTTTACGAAAAAGTTTCATATGCGTCTCAAGCAATAAATTGAGACAATCAAAACCATTTATTTTCATATTATATGGTTTTGATCACACAAAAAATAGCCATCATTAAGCCAAATGCAAAAAAAAATTACTGCTTCGGAGCAAAAGTTGGCAATAAATATTGAGCACCTTTATCTGCAACTTAGGTCGGAAAAAACGTGAATACCGTACTATGAGACTACGTTTGGCATTCGTTAAAATCAAAATTTTTTCGACGCAATTAACAATTATACCTTGAAACTACGCAACATAAGTTGACTAAGCCGAACCCGTTCAACCAAACAAAAAAAAAACGAAAAATCATGATAAAATTCATGGAGTTAGTTTCTTTACAATTTAGAGAACAAATTTCAATTATAGTTAACTTTTTCAATCCAAAATTAGAAAAATCCAAGATATCGAAATTGCTTCAGAAGCATACCCGAAAATCAAAGCTGCATTAAAAAAACGGAAAATCAGCCGACAAAAATTTTGACGAAAACCACGCATCCGAAAAAAAATCAATCTTTATTCATTGAATTTATTTGTAAAAATTAAATTTTACCGCAAATGAGCTAAGAGGTTTTTTTTACTTTTTCAAGAAAAATCAAATTGTCAGCAGATTTGAGCATGTCAGCAGAAAAATCCTACTTATTGCTTACAAGTCTCTTGCTGAAAAAAATGAAACTGAAACCCCCATTTGCCATCTTTTTTTTTATCCGAACCCTCATGCTGCCAAATGTACAAATGAGTTATCTATATCTCTCTAGAATTGATAGAGTTGAAAGGTAAAAAATACATTAAAAAAATTGAACAACAATTCAAGGCACGGTCCCAAGAGCTCGACGCAAAAAAAATCAACTCAGAATTCAACAACTCTCCGCAGAATTCTGCGAATTAAAGTACACTCGAATTATAACACAGGTGTTCGTTGTGTTATAAAATTGACACAGAAAGTGAGGCAGAATTTCGCAAATACTCGCGACAACGCATTAAGAGAGATCTTTGAAAAGAATTTATCAATTTTTTAAGAGTGCATCCGAAAATTTATGAATTTTGAAAAGTTTAAGGAAAAGACAGAAACTAATGAAATAGTCAAGTTTTCAAAAATGATTGCTCTCTACGGTAATCAAAACGTTAACCTTGAGCATCTAAGCGACAAATCTACATAATTTTCCTACATACGCTTATAAATCGAAACACTATCCGCTGATAAAGAGGACACATGCTATTGAATTTCCACTATGATGCAGCAACAATGCCACCATAACTATCACCAATTTTTGCGAATTCGGTTAAATTTAAAATTAACTCTTAATTTACCAGAAAACTAACAAGCTCGCGCGCAAAAAATAACAAAAACAAAGTTTGAGGGGATCAGCTATCCCTTCTCGTAATCTCTTTTCTATCAACATAGTTTTATAGCAATTTGAACTCAATTGAAAAAACAGCTACGGAATTAAGCAAAATTTTGCCATCAATTAAATTCAATTTCTGAAAACTTTAATCTAACTTTGCATTGGTTGCTCCAATCTAAGTAAGCGTTAAGACAAAAAACGAATTCAAAAATTTGAATGTACAATTGCGTTAAATTTTGCTCCAACGTCTTCTTCAAGTTAGAAAAAATTTGACGTTGACGAAAAATTAATAACTACAAATAAACGTCAGGTGAGGTTGATTGATTTATCGTATTAAAGCCTTTTGTCATGATGCGATTAGCGAAAGAATTTTTGATTCCGAGGATATTTCAGCTTTTTGGAAAACTTTTCTAACTTTAGAATTAGAAAAGTTTTTCCAAAAAGCACTCATCATCAATTAGTTTTATTTCAAATTTTTAAACCATACTCAGGCTAGTTTAACCTTATTGGAATAACTTTTGCAATAACCGCGGTTTGAACATTCAGTGGTACCTGCACAGCCCTTGTTTTTGCGGCAGGAGCATCGCTTTTTTGACTTATTTGATCATACCTTGGAGAAGGACACTTCAAATAAGTGTTGATACACTTCAGTTATTCCATCTCCCGAGTCTAGTGTCAGCTGTTTGATCCTATTGATGAGATGAGGTCGCTGAAAATCCATCTGTAGAAACATAAAGGGGTCAATAACCCCTTCCAAAGTCCACACATAGCGTGCCTCCTCAACTGACGCAACCGCACAATTTCCATCTTGTTCTTGTTCGTATCCGCACGTTTTCAGCAATCTGACCTCGTTACCGAATCCCGAAGTTTGGAGGAGAAAATCATTTGTGTGTTGAAACTGACTGCGAAGAACCAAATCTTTAATTCCGGTCAAAAAAGAACATAACACTTGTTGCTCTAAGAGAATCGTCAAAAACGGTATCAAAGTTGCAATTTTAGACATTTTCGAAAAGTAGCTTGGCTAGAATTGCCTGTAGAAATAGCGTGAGTGAATTATTCATTGAGTCAGCTGACTTTGAACGAGCGATGAAAATGAGACCGGAAATGGATACATAGCAGCACCTGGGCTCACATAATTCATTCAAACTCCTTCGCTTTGTAGATCGCATATTTCGGAATCTGGTATTTGAACAACTTCCTTACGGCTGCATAGTAAGCGTATCAATTTTGAGGCTTTTGAATGATAGGCTAAAATGGCTTGTAAAAATAGACTAAAAAAATTCAACTATTCATGTTAATCTAATAAACAAGTTATACAAAATACTTAAAAACATTTTATGAAAAAACAACAAACATTAGAGCAACAATAAATAAGTAATGTCTCAATTAGTTTGAAAATAGCTGCTGCAATAAGAGAAGATCTTCAAGCAGCGTATCGGTAATTTCAGAGTGCTTGGGAACAGATAGTATCTCATCATTGTGGATTTGTGGGCAATGATGAGGATTTTGCCAGTGCTTTCAGTTTCTCAGGGAGTGGACCGTGCACCCACTAAAACAATTATTTACGGAATGAGGAATTTAAAATTGAAATTAATAGAAACGGGCTATGCTTAAACAGGCATAACAGCCTTCGATAGACTCGCTGAAACAAAACTATTAGTCACAGATGATATTTAGATTATTCATCATTTACAGATCACTATTCATGAAAGAAATTAAGAAAATTTTAGAGAGTCAGAGAACAATAAAAGGGAACAGCCCGAATTAAACTTTTTCCAATGGTGAACTTTAAGTCTATGCTATAAAAATTAAGGCAATATCGGTGAACGTTGAGCAAATTAATCGGCCATACTTTTTTTGACCCAGTTGTTGAAGTGAGTGAAAAATTGATATCCGACGTCAAAATCTGCTGTCTTCGGCTAAATTCCTCGGTCCAGATTTGTTTAGCGAAATGAATATTGCCAACAAATTGGCATTAACTGTATTTATGGAATAAATATTGGACCTGAATAATTTCATGCTGTGGTAACTTTGAAGATGTGAGGAAGTCACTCAGCAGCTGCTGCTTAACAGTCTCATGCACCACTTCTGGGTTCTGTTTGAGGGTGATGTTGCTTGAGCCTGGCAGCTTGACAGCGTCCCCCAGCAAAGCTGCTGCCCAGAGCTTCACGTGAGCATCCGGCACCTTTTCTGCCATCTTCAAAGCAGGGCAGACTGTCTCACAGCAATCCTAAAACGAAAACATCTTCAAGCACAAAAAATACGTTCTGCTAGTGGATATACAAATAAGTGAAATACAACAGCTTCTTCTGCCGGAAAGGTGCCTGATTCTTCTGAGAAAAGCCATCCCAAATTTCCTTACAAGGGAGCCATCAAACAAAAATAAAAGTAGGTCCGGCCATACATGTCAAATCGAGCCTCAAACTTTCAAAAAACAAAAATCAGCTTCGTACAATAATATCTTTGTGAGGTTTCAATCGCAAACCCAGTAAACTTCTTTGTTTACTACAGTGTACAATAAAGTAGTCAAAATCTCATCACTGTACCCATATCACTGGAATCTACAAGTATGCATAGATTCTTAGGTTGGAAAAAAAATAGTTCATACCATATCACAACCTTCGCTTGTGTAAACAGAAAGTTGTCTCAAAATTGTTCATACGCATTCACTTGATCACGCTGATATGTTCTATTGCAGTTTAGAAAATCAAAGTCATTTTAAGTAGGCTTTAGTGAATTTGATTTCAGAAAATAATCAAAGGGGGTCTGTCAGTGCTATGAATAAAATGAAAAAGGAAAAAAATTAAGCAGAAATTTATGGACTATTAATTCGGCAGATATAGCTCATGCTTCTTATACAGAGGCAAAGCTAGTCTTCACAAGCAAACAAGAAAAACGAGCTCTAAAAATGAACGAACACAAAAACGGGATTCTCTAAAAATGGGATTCAAACCAATTACCTGCCGAATCAAAAAGAACACTAACTAATAAGGAGTACCAACCTTTAAGTATTCGGCAACGACAACAGAATATATCTCATATAAAAGCTGATTTGAGTGCGCACTAGTTAAGTCTAAACAGGCTAACTAATCGATAGCGTAAGCAAGCTAAAAACCGTTATGAGGTTGCGCGGTCAAATGAAACACGTAGTGAGAGCGAATTATCGCCTAGCATGTGTTGTTCTTCAATCGGTTTCAGATATCTCGAAGAATGCTAACAGGAGATCGAGTATCATAATAAAGCAATATTATTTGAATTTGATTTCAAACAAAAAGATTATATAAATTATATAGGGGCGGCTTTTTTACTACTCACACTGATTTATCACTAAGGTGGAGAGAAGAGTTTTAAAAAAGCGTTCTTAAGCTCATTGTTCTTTGTTTTTTTAAGTTGAGCTATTTTCATCATACTTATTAAGCTTTCAATTTCCATCGCCTTTCTTTACTATACCGTAGGATCAACAAATACCACTAGACTACTGAATTTTTAACTTATAATTTTAACCACACCCAATTTCCCTATAACAAATTCAATTTCTTTTCTTAAACTTTCAAATTAAAACGAAATGCTTTCAAATTAAAAGAAATTCAAAAGTTGAAATGAACTCAACTTCATTTAAAAAAATTTAAGCCGCAAAAAAATCTAGCCCTAAAAGATTTAAAAATAGCCGAAAGATAGTTGGAAAGGGCCAATGAAAGCAAGTAAACTGATAAAGTTTCAACTTTCGAAATTGAAATAATAGATGGCCCTAGAGCTCATTGAATGTCTGGAACAAATCATGATTGAAACTTTTTGATAAGATTAACCCAATTAGAGAAAATTCGACCAATAGGTAAAATTTGCTGGGAAATCTGAAAAATAAATGACCTTAAGTGACCTTAACTTTTTTAATGTTCGATAGGGGAGTTTTCCTTTTTTTTTTCACAAAAGATATGTGATATGAGCTGAACTTAAAAAGAAATCAAAGTAAAACCGCGAAATTGTAAACTTGAACCTGAACAAATTTTAAAATTTTCGTGAAAAAAAATCATCGCGACCTACATAAGAGTCTGAACTATGTTCGACTTTTGAAACACGTCTTAACCATTGATATATACGATCTTCTGTATTAAATGACAGTCCTAATGCGCTATGGTTCAAACGTTTGAAATTTTGCCTTTCTTTGAACGAAGAAAATAAACTGAACTTAGAAAAAAAACTCGAAACGCAATAAAATTAATTCGAGCCTGAACTAAACTTCGGACTTTTCCTTTAAAAAAAAACGAAAATCATCACGACCTGAATAAGAGTCTGAACTACGTTCATCGACTCGTAACAAGACGTAAAGAAGTAACTTCACTTCGTTCATTAATGCTTCGAAGTTTTAATGGTTAGTGCCCTTGGGCTCGGAACATTCTGCACCACTTGAAAAGAATTTTTCAAAAATATTTGAAATACAAAAAAAACTCTCATAGTCGAACATAAAACTTGCTACAAAATGAAATCAAATTTACCAGCATGCAATATATAAATACAATATAGTAAGAAAAAACAATATAGTAATAAATACAATATAGTAAGAAATAGAAAGTTTGGACTTAACTTTTTTTAGCTTCATAATTACGTTGTTCCATTTTTTTTACAACTATTGTTTGCAACCAATATCTTTCCCAAATTTAATACAAACTATTGTATTATTTTTGCGCGTTCGTTTATTTTCAAAGGTTCTCTGTTATAGGTATCCGCTCCACCAAATTCGTTTGTCTTAACATATTTCTCCGCATCGAACATTCTAGTATGACTATATTTAGTCATGAACAGTTTGGCTGGTCAAGCTTTTAGCTTGAGAAGTAGATTTTGAGCTTGATATCATTTTGGGGATTAAACCACCTTTTCATTCCCCAGTAAATTTGGTCTGTTAATTTGAGTTATGGAAAGATATTATAAAAAAACTGAACTGAATAATGAATAGGACAAAACTAATGACTTGAAAAGCATAATTATTCTATCTTATGTTACCATGTTGCAAATTGATTTAAATTAAAGATTGAACAGCCATTTTGACAAAGCCTTTAATTAACTCTGCTGAAAATTGAGGATTTTCGCCTACTAATGTTCCAAGATAACAAGCATTTTCTTATGCGAAAATTGTTTCTTCTTTTTGACCATTATTTTCTTAACTATTTTCTTGATCAAAAACAAAAGCTGTATTTTTTTCAAAATTGACGAAAGGTTTGTTTTCAATCAAGTATTTATGTTTTTCTCTATTATCGTTGTTCTTAAGTCATGTATTGATTTTCCCCTCCATAAGCTATTTGTATCACCAGTAAACTGCACTAAATGCATATTTCTATCATTTTGTTTTGAAATCACTTACAAAAATCTAGGGTCCCAACACCAGGCGATAATCCGCCTTCTCTGTCTTAATTTAAGATAGAAAAGATGGAACTGCCAGTCTCGAGTAGGGAAAAGGAGGGTGGACGTAACGTAAAGAAGGACATTGGGTCCGTAACGACGGCCTTAAAAAAACACTGTACAGGACCTTGTCCTCAACAGCTCATGCAACGTCATACACCGAGTCGAAAACAGAGTTAATCGACCCCAAAAATGCAGTGACCCCTTCGAAATTAGAGTAAGTGTGCATCAATGATCGACACTTAGCCCATTGTTATTTATAAAGGAAATGGAAGAGGCAACGAGAACCTGTCGTTCCACAATATTGTGGGATATGTTATATGCAGTTGACTTTAAGACATCAGCTGAAAAGGAATCCCATTTTATTGAGATTTTTAATACTTGGAACAAGGCTTTAAAAGGACGGTTCAAAAGTAAACTTGGATGAGACAAAGCATTTGGTATTAATCTTGGGAAAACCGGAAAATATCCATGCGCTTGTTGAAAGTGAGTATGTGCCAACTCAATACGTTGCAATTCTTAAGATAAATGGGTGCATGAAAAATACGTGCATCATCCTTCAGAATAGCAGCTTTCTGAAAAAAATGGCGGCAAATTACGCCTCTACTGCTGAATAAAGATATTGACATCATTAAAAAATATCATATTCATGCAGCTTGTCTCCCGTCAATTCTGATGTTTTGCTCTGCAACCAGACTAAAGGACAGAGTTACCAATGAATCAGTAATTGAAATGACTGAGATAGCTACAAGTGCGGTCCCGACTACGATGGTTTGGCCATATTCAGCGAAGAGAAAATAATTATGAAATTAGGTTAACTGACTAAATTTCAGTCTAAGGAAAAAACCAGATTAAAGTTCTTAAAAACCTTGGATGGACTATGTTGAACAACACTTAAATATTTCAGTACTCAAACCCACAAACTGCTCTGATCGAATGGCATCGAAAAACATATTGTCTTCAACCATAAAGCTTCAAAGCTATCAGAAGGCCCTCATTTTAATGCTGAAACTTGTCAAGCTATCCAGATATACAAATGCTTACGCACTGGTCGAATGTCCAACCCCACCACAATGGGAGAATGGACAATAAACGCATTAGTAGCAGTAGCTTCTAAAACAGTATCTCGTGGTACGCAATGATTGAGTTATTTTCCATTTAGAATAATATTTTGAAGTTTCAACCACTATTTACGGTCTCTCAATGACTCCGACAAGAGAATTGATACATTATTGGAAAAACCAAACCTTTCAGTTTTTCCAAAAAAATTCACGAGAAATAGAACTCGAAGCTTTACACAGAGGCAAAGTTGCACTTGGCACACACAAGCAACAATATGACCGATGATGCTACTGGGAAAAAAAACTAAATTACTACAACTTTGAGTCTACAAAATTTCTTAAGGGACGCAACCCAAAAACGACGCATTAGCAGCACCAGTCAATTTGAACAAATTTATAGAGCGGTCAAATTCAAGCTAGCATGCGAAAAAGTTCATTAAAAAAATCCGACCCTGCCCAGGTTGGACCCTCTTATTTTGTTGCGGTCTCCTCCCTACATCTGCGCTACAGATCCATGATACCTTGAAGCTTAAGTGCTATTTGTAACACAAAACTGCTCGTACCAGGGCGAAGCCCTGAATGTTCTGACTGCCTTATATGGTCTATGGAGCAGTAATAACCCGAAAAAAAATAATGTAATTGGGTAGTTAGGCCTCTTTTTATCCTTTCTAAGTTTTGTGTAGTTAGGCCCTAACGAGGGAATACGGTTTTTGATATCAATTTGTTTCCTTGGACAAACGCAATGTGGATCTGGTACTCGCACTGCAAAGCTTCT